AGCACTCTCTTTCGTTCTTTGAACTGCATGCATAAGGTCGTTCAAAAAGTTCCTTTAATAATTCAAGCTTCCTTCTTCCATAGGTTCTGTGTCAAAGCTGGTTCCTGTCTTGAAAGCTCTTCTCTTCATTTCTGCCTCATTAACTCATTAATTTCAGCTCAGTCCATTTCCTCAGGGAAGCCTACTCTGGTGTTCCTTACAAGGCTGGTTCCCTACTAGAAATTCTCTTGTTAGACTTTTACATTTGTTTAAGTGCTTTACTGTTAATATCTGTCTCCCCTAGACGGTAAGCTCCAATGAGGGCAACAAACTGCTTAGTTTTTGCTCTCTCTCTTATTGCCTGTGACCAGCACAGTGCCTGGCACGTAACTGGTGCTTAATAAATACTCACTCAGCGAAAGAATAACACAGTGGTGTTCTTGGTGCAGACAGGAGGAGAGAGAAAAAGATAACAAAAAAGAAGAAACAGTAGGGGCATAGATAATAAAAAAGAGCAAGAATGAACACTGATCTAACACTATGGTCAACAGAATTAATCTGAGTTATTGTTTGATTGAAGAACAATAGTAACAACATGGATAGACTCTGTGGTGAACTCCCTGTGAGGGTCATGCATGAAAACTTTTATTAGAGATGCTATGGATGTGTGTGATTTTGATCTCATAATCAAATGCTTGTTTTCTCTGTTAGTTGCTAAGTTAAGTCAATTATTCACTAAATGAGTAATTGAATGCTAGTCTAAATGCAGACTCTCGTTAACAATTTTTTTAATTGAGATATAATTGACATAACATTGTTATAGTTTTAGGTGTATAGTTTTTTCCTTGTGATGAAAACTTTTAAGATCTACTCTCAGCAGCTTTCAAATATACAATACAGTATTGTGTTTGTTTGTTTGTTTGTTTAAAGATTTTATTTATTTATTTGAGAGAGAGAGTGAGAGAGACAAAGAGCACAAAAGGGGGGAGCGGGAGAGGGAGAAGCAGACTCCCTGCTGAGCAGGGAGCCCCATGCGGGACTCGATCCTGGGACTCCAGGATCATGACCTGAGCCGAAGGCAGTCGCTTAACCAACTGAGCCACCCAGGCGCCCTGTTTTTTTGTTTTTTGTTTTGAATACAATGTGATTTTATTCCAGCTAAATAAAGCAGTGCCCCAGTCACCTGGGCAATAAGGCTCACTCACGGGGCAAAAGCCAAGAAAGAAGGATTTTTCATGTTTTCTTTAATTATCAGTCACTGCACATAGCTCTCTTGCACACCTCCTCTCGGAAAATGTGGGCTAACAAATCCTGTGCTAAGAAGGAAAGAGAAAAAGGGAAAATGGAATTCATCTAGCATACTGCTGAAGGTGGTTTCTCCAATTTCTCTTCTATAAACTGCTCCATCAACACGGTCCATTCTGGATTATTTTGATATCATGACCACCTTCCCTGATTTTCATGCACACAGTACACTCACCGGGATAAGCAGACATGTCCTTTCTGCACACAGGGCTAAAGTCTCTAGGGCATCCTGGTAATTTATACTGATTGCAGTTTGGTTTCTGTATTCTGAAGGCTGGCTAAACTCGAGTTCAGAGTCCAAAGCGGTTGCCAAGTCCCGGCCAGGAGCAATAGCACCAAGTGCAGCACCAAGAGCGCCTCCGTGGCTGGCCGTCAGGTCGCTGTCTGCTCCGGTGCCAGTGGGACACACAGTGTGCTCCAGGGTCCGGCAAGTGACAGGCTGGGGTGGGGGTGGGGCTCAGAATTATTAACTAGAGGGCGCCTGGGTGGCTCAGTCGGTTAAGCGGCTGCCTTCGGCTCAGGTCATGATCCTGGAGTCCCGGGATCGAGTCCCGCATCGGGCTCCCTGCTCAGCGGGGAGTCTGCTTCTCCCTCTGACCCTCTCTCCTTTCGTGTTCTCTCTCTCATTCTCTCTCTCTCAAATAAATAAATAAAATCTTAAAAAAAAAAAAAGAATTATTAACTAGAGTCACCATGCTCTGAACATCACATTTCCAGGATCTACTTATCTTACATAGCAAGTGGAAGTTTATACTTTTTGAATGCTTTTACTCCTTTTGCCCACCCCTGCCCCTGCCCCTGGCAACCACCAATCTGTTCTCTGTATCCATGGTTAACAATTCTAACCAAATTTTAAACAATTCTATTTCACATATTAACAGATAAAAAAATTATTTCCCATGTTGAGTGGTGCTTAAAACTGTTCGTGTGTCCTACATTAGGGTATGAAGCTGGCTCTCTCCCGTACTTGAAATGGAGTGGTTCAATGAAAAAACAAAGAGAAATAGAAATCTACTTCCTTAACATGACAATGAATATTCTAATCCTACAGCTAATGATAGACTTAATGGAAAAATGTTAAAACCATCCCTTTTAAAACAAAAATGAAAGAAGAAAATCTTGCTATCAACATTACTAGTTAGTGTTCAGTCATAATATAATATAATCACAGCCATAATATAAGCTGTGAAAAAGAAATACAAGAAATAATATTGGAAAGGAAGAGACAAAAAGGTAATTTGAGGATAACATTAAAAAACTAGAAAAGCTTGGGCGCCTGGGTGGCTCAGATCGTTAAGCGTCTGCCTTCAGCTCAGGTCATGATCCCAGGATCCTGGGATCGAGTCCCGCATCGGGCTCTCTGCTCCTTGGGAGCCTGCTTCTCCCTCTGCCTCTCTTTCTCTGTCTCTCATGAATAAATAAATAAAATCTTTAAAAAAAAAAAAACTAGAAAAGCCAAAACAATTTGTCAAACAAAAGTTTTAAGTAATTTTCATTATTAATATAATTAAATACTTCTTATTAAAATGATGAAAGAGTACTCGGACAGAAAATATGATCTGCCTATCAGCAATAACTGATCAGAATACATAATATTATAGATATTACCTATTTATAATTATTATATATATGTATTTCCTATACAATGAAAAAAGAAATCCATTAAGAATAACAACAAATGTTAACAATAAAAAAAAATGTTTACTATGCTTAGGACGTGGCTTGGTTTAGATATCTCTGGCTTAAAGTTCTACTGAGAAATTAAAAAAAGGAACCACAGATAAATGAGAGAGTTCCATATTCTAGAATGAAGGACTAAATATGATAAAGATATCAGCCTTTCTCAAATTTATTAATAGATTTTCTATTATCCCATTAAAATCCAAAAGTATTATCTTCTTGTAACTTGGAAAAATTATCATAAAATTCACTTGGAAAATTACCGGGCAAAATCACAAAAATCAAAGAATTTTTGTGAAAAATTAAGTATACTAAAATGGTTAACCCTAATGGCCAAATATTAAAGCATTTAAAAACAACAGCGGCTAAAATAACATGGTACTGGCCCCCAAATAGACATATATTTTAACTGAAGAGAACAGAAATTCCAAAATACTTTATTTCTGATAAGTGTTTAATAAGAGAATTATTATGAGTCAATCGGTAAGGTAAGCGTTATGTAGAAAATCCTGTTGGATAATGGAATACCAATTTTGATAAAAGTAGTAGATCGTTACAGCAATGGCTCCCTAGAATCATGTCTCCATTTCTACACCCTTTTTTCTCTAGCTATGGACACACTACAGAGTTTTGGGTGGTTTGTTATGCAGCAATAGATAACTCACATAACATCTCATGGCATATACCGAAATGTATTCTAGATAGTTGAATAGTTAAATATAAAATCAAAAGAAAATAAAACTTGATCTGAGACCTGCATGAACTTGTGACATTTCAGGTGTAAGACACTCTAGTAGTGTGCTTTCTTGGCCTTACAAGGGAAAACCTGAAATTTGACTACCTAACATTAAATACATCACAAAATACAATAGCAAAAGAAACAAAATGGAAAGAGAGACAAGAGACTGGGAAAAACAATAGCATAAAATATGGCAAGGCTTAAGGTCACTTCATAAAGGTATTGAAATTCATATGTATAACAAAGCTATGAACAGAATATGTACATCAGAGTACATAAGAGAGTTTATAAACACAAGGAAAGACATCAGATCTTGACAGCAATCAAGGAACCTGAAGTATAACAAACTAGAGGTAACATTTTGTAGCAAGGAATTCAGAGGGAAAAAATGGTATAATTTGGTGTTAGGTTGTATTTTGATGGCACTGTGAGTGTATACTTTGGAAAGCGATATTATTGATAGGCACTAACATTTTTGTACCTTTTGACTTATCGGAAATTATCCAAAGAATGTAATTCAGCAAATGCACAAAGGTTTGCTTTACAATATTATTTTTGTAGTAAAACTTGGAAACCTTGTATTGTCCAGTAGAGGGGCAATTACTTTGTCTCAGGCAATAAAGGGTGGAATTCCAAGTTACTGTTCAATTTTAAAATTATGAAGATCACGAAGCAGCATAAATATGTTTATGTAGTGCTAGATAAAAATAATTTAAAATAGAATGCATATAATAAACATAATGGAACGAATACACATGGTCTTACCAAATCCTCAGACTCTCTTTGAAGTAAATTTTAGCTCCATAATTACGGAAGAAACAAAAATTTACACAATTTACCCATGTTCAAGCTTTTAATAATAGACCCCCAAGCCTGTTAATTGCAGCATCCACCCATTTTTCCGTTTAATCCAATTAATCATCTTTTTGTGCCCAAAGGCTTGCGCTTCCGCTACGTCCCGCTTCACAGCTTCATATATGCAAAGAATTGGCAGCGCTATGCAAAATAGGAAATAACTTTTAAAGTTTACGGGATCACAAGTTTTCCTCCCTCGCCTTGCAAACAACTTTTTAAACGTTATATCTATTTTACAATAAAAAACTGAAAATGCAATTAAAGATAAAGGAGCAAAGTCTTCATCTATCCTGCCCCATACACCCCTGGAACTTGAACTCTGTGCAAGTGCTGTTTACTAAGGGCTGGTAAAGGGCCGGCCTCAAGGAGGTGGGGCTGCGTCGCAAAAAAAAAAAAAAAAAAAACCACAAACAAAACCCCGCCGCGCTGCTTTACGGCACTCGCTCCGCCCCTCCAGGTGCGGGAAGCTGAAGCCGGGAAACATGGTGGCCGCCCGCCTTCTCAGCAAGGGTTGGACTGTCCTGGCAGGGTTGTTGCTTTTCTCCTTCGGCAGCTTGGCCGCTAGTCAGATCGAGGTAGGAGTCAGGCCCTCCGAGCGACAGGGCCCTGGGAGGACAGCTCTGCCGTGGCTGTGAGCGCACCAGCAGATTGCGGTTCATAGCAGCCGAGGGGAGCATCAGCATCTTGCTAGGCTGACCGGGCTGTGTGTGGGGGAGGGTGTCTGTTACAGGGGATGGGATAGGACAGTGTCGATCTGTTTCACCCTTTTAAACGACGTACATAAAGAATCAAGTGTCAGGAGACGGGGGAGAACCTGATGCATTGCTCGGACGAGTGTGCAGTCCCTAGCAGTTGAAATGTGAGCACAGGAGTGAAGCACCTACTTTCCTACTACGAAACTACACTGCTTCCCTTTGATAGGAGTCAGATGGCTACGGTGTTTTATTTTTGGCTCACAGGACATTCTGGCCCTTTATCAAGCTTTTACTCTATGCAGTACTCTGACAGTACTTCAGGCCAGTTCTACTAGAGTCTAGATCTGTTTCCAGGCCTGCATACCCTGTTGGCTAGGGGGCCGGGATAGTTAGCCGACATTTGAAAATCTATATCCAAAGTTTAATCTTCTGCCTAGCCCACCTCCTGTGGGATTGCCACTAAGTCAGAAACCTGCTTGTTTGTTTGTTTTAATAAACTCTTTTTATCTCACATGTTGATCATCACTAAATTCTATGTTCTGAACTTTAAAAATTGCTCTCACCCTTCCAGTTCCACTGGCATAAAGTGGGCCTTGGTCATTTCTTGCCTACACTGTTGCAAGACTATCTTGTTTACCCCCAGGCTTCCAAAGTCCCTCACTTAGATGCTAGATTAGTCTTCATAAAAGGCAAACTCAGTCAGGTTATTCTTCTGATTTAATCCTTTTCCCATTGCATACAGAGGAAAGTCTAAACATCAAAATCTGGTCTCTGCCCACTTTTTGGTCTTATTGGAGTCCATTCTTTCTACCACCTAAGTACCTTGAGTTTAGACCAATGAGTTCTAAACTTTTTGAATACTTACCCTCCAGTTAGAAAAGATGGCACATGCACCCTCTCTCTGTATCCATGAATTACTGCTAATCTATATAGTCAACATTTATAAGGTATATTTTTTAATGTAATACAAATATGAATAGAAGTTCTGCCATTTTTCTCCTTTATTTTAGTGGATTATCTTGTATACTTCATTTTGGACACCATTATATTTTTTGTAGTTACGTTGTTGCTGTGCTTTTTCACATTAACCATGTTGTTTTTTTTAACCTTTTGTTTCTTCTCTCTTTTTACTAAGATGCAGTAAAAGCATTACCTCTGTAGTAATATGTACACTTAGCTAATGTAGCACTCATCTGCTCTAAATCCATATATGCTTTGTAGTATCTATGATTCCTTAATCTTTCACTAAGAGGGCAATAGCTCCCTAGCTGGTCTGCTTCAAGTCTTTCTTTCTGCCAGTCTGTTTTCCAAGCTGCAGCCAGAGTAACTTTTAAAAATGCAAATCAGATCGTGTCACCCATAAACACCTTAATGTTTCCTTAAGGATAAAGAACAGAATCTTTGTTATGACCCATGAGCAAGGCCCTTTTCCTGTCTTTGACTTCTAGTTGTGCTAATCTTTTAGTTTCTCAAGGCCTTTAAGCTCCTGTCTCCCATTAGGGTGGATGTTCCTTCTGTCTGGAATTATCTTCCCTATTCTCTTCATCTTTTGAATCCTAAGCTAAATGTCACTTCTCTAGGGAAAACTTCGCTGATGCCTTCCCACTTCCTACTGCCAGAATCAGGTCAGGTCAGATCTGGGAATCTATTGTACTCTTTCATGATACTGTGTATCTTAATCTCTATAGAATTTATAGTTTGCCCTCATCTGCTTAATGTATGTCTATCAAATTGGATAGTGTTCTCTTTGGAGGCAAGTACTATGAGTATTTTTGCCCGCCATTGTATTCTGTGCACTTAGGACAGTGGCTGGCACATGGCACCCAATGAATGTGATGAATGAATGAATGTTACATTGCAGTGTGACATGTTTGCTTGCTTCTTTATTGCACTCTGGGGTTCTTGAGAGAAAGCAGCTTGCTTTTTCGTGATTTTTGTATCACTGTACATTACATGTAACTGGCACATAATAGGTGCTCCATTCGTTATATATAGAGTGAATAATTTTGCAGTGCCTCTATTGTCTAAACAATCACAAAAGAGTTTTGCCATATCAAATTTTTCACTAAAGTCTTAATGATGTAAGAATTTTCAGCTAGAAGGCACATTTGAGATTATTGGGTCAGATCTTACTTTCTACATGAGGAAAGTCAAGTCTAAAGAGCTAAGTGACTTATTCCAGTCTCATAGTCATGTTCAAATTTTTAAACTAATGCTTTATCCACTATAGCACATTGTTTTCTTTTGCATCGAGGCAGCTCTTGAGAAAGGTTAAAAAAATACATATATATGTACATTTGATAAACAGATATGAGGGAATTTTTTATTTTATTCTCCCTGAAATTTTCTTGCCAGATGAAAATTAAAACAGCTAACATTTGTTATGCAATTACTATGTTCCAGTCACCATTCCTGCCTTCTGTGTGTCAGGTAATAATTACTACTCTTTTACAGATGGGGAAATGGAGGCACAGAGAAGCTTTCCTAAGCTTTTACAGCTAGTAAATAATAGGGCCCAGATTAGAATCCAGGCAGTATGACTTCTCATAATTAATACTGTTTGATAGCAGATCTGGGGTCATTAAGGTTCATATTCACAACTATTTTAATATACAATAAATATCATGTTCTTTTGGTGTCTGGATATTATTGGATGTTGAGGTTTTCTGATGTTCCACAATGGCAAATATGGTTCAGACTTCTAACAGATTAGCGAAATGGTACATGGCAGCGTGCTAGAGAATGTGCTCAATCAAATATATTGATGTGTTCAAATAAAGTAATTGGAAGCATCCACTACAGAGTAGGAAGTAATGAATGAGACTTCAATAAGGGGTATTAATTGGGCGCCTGGGTGGCTCAGTTGTTAAGTGTCTTCCTTCGGCTCACGTCATGATCCCAGGGTCCTGGGATCGAGCCCCACTTCCCTGCTCAGCAGGAAGCCTGCTTCTCCCTCTCCCACTCCCCCTGCATGTGTTACTTCTGTAGCTGTCTCTCTCTGCCAAAAAATAAATAAAATCTTTAAAAAAAAAAAGGTATTAATTGTTATGTGGAGAATCAAGGCATGAAAATAAGTCATTCACAATTTGAAGACTGAATGGAAAACTAGAAGCATATGAGGAAGAGCTGGTTGTGTTTGAGATAAAAATGTTTAAAAACAAGCAGCCCCCACCTCTGGGGCTCCCCGGCAAAAAATAAAATGTTTGTCCTTTATAAGGTCAAATACTAGAACCTTTATAAATTTGCATAATGATAACTTACTGTCATTATAACTAAAGACTCCATGAATCTTAACTGTTCTTTATCAGTCTTTATTCTCAGAAATGTGGCTTTTCTAATGTTTTTGAAATTATTTGATTTGTAGGATCAAGCAGAACATTTCTTTAGAAGTGGCCATACAAACAACTGGGCTGTTTTGGTAAGTATATTCTATGAAGGTATATGTTGTTGTTCACATTAGATATGTGTCTGAGAACTTTTGTGTGAACCAGATTTTTGAAAAAAAAATTATTTTCTCATATAACAAATTCCTTATTTTGATTTGACTATATTTTAAATTGACTTTATATCAACTAATATTCTGGCCTTCAGTATATTGTCAAGTGGTGACGTGTAAATAAACATAAGAATATACTAGGGATACTATTGTTAAAGGAAGCATCTTATAAAATGTACAATTATTTTAATGATGGAAACTAGTAATTGTATTTCTTATCTATAATATTAGTTTGTAGATATTCTCTATTTAGGCTATTTTTTTTTTTTTTTTTACTTTTTTTTTCTGCCCACAAAAAGAAATGATCATCATAGAAAATGCAAATTATACAGACAAGTTTAGGAGGGGACAGATTAATTTTATCTTAGGTGACTCTCCCCTCAATTTAAAAAAAAAAAGGAAGACAGAGAAAATATCTTCAAGTCCCATACATGTCAGAATTAACATTTTGATTCTTCTGGCCTTCTTTCCCTTCCCATATAAGCATAAAGATAAATGATTTTATGTAACTAGGGTCATCTTATACCTGTTATTTTGCAACCCTATAGCAGTATATCTTTGGAGATCTTCCCCTGTCAACATGGAGATGCATAATCATTTCCAAAGGCTGTATTATTTTGTATTTTATGAATGAACCGTAGTCTCTCGTTCATGGGCATTTAGATTCTAAATTTTTTACTTTAAACAAGACTCTTGGACAGCCTTATACATACACCTTTGTGAACTTGACTGATTTTCTCTTTAGGATAAATTCCTAAGCCATAAGGCTCGTAAGTTATGGAGCATAATTGCTCTCCAGAAATGCTGTACCTCTTTTTTCTTATTCCAAGACAACTGGGTATTATTAACTTTGCCATTTCTTTTTGACTGCTGGGTAACAAATTAAATTTTGTTTTAATTTGAATTGTTTTGATTCTTAGTAAGGTTTGCTTATTGGCCTATTGTTTTCTTTTGCCTTTTTTTTTCTTGGTGTAAATTACCATTTTAATTTATCTGGATTTATAAATTTGTATTTTTAATTTCCCTAATAGAATACATGCCATCAATTTTGTTTTTCCTGCACTTGGAAAGTATTTGGATAGTAGTTTCACTGCTGGGGATTTATTTAATGGCATTTACATGATTAGGAGATATAATAAATTTGACTTAATGAAAAAATTGTAGAAGAGGGTTGACTGGAAGAAAGAATGAGGAAATAAGGAGGCAGGAAAGGAAGTGAATTTTTGTGAAAAAGGAAGGGGGTTCATGGGTCATTTTATTATTCTTCAACAAAGAACACTTATATGCTACCCCTCAAAAGAGATTTTATGAAGGAATCGAACAAAAGCTGCTCAAGATAAGGAGACAGGTTTTCGGTGACCACTTAAAAGAGAGGGAAACTTATCAGGAGGCAGGCCATGATCCACCAATTCCACAGGATAACTTGCTCTTCAGAAACCAAGGGCTCTTCAATAACTAGTCTCTCTATGGGAATTCTTAAAAAAAGGGAGTAACTGCCTATGTCCCGACAACTAATTGCCAAAGGGCTCATCCTTTAGAATAAGAGCCTATTAGCTTACACTGCACACACACTGAAGCTTTCCTTGTCTGGAAAACCTCTAACTGAGCCCTTCTTCAACTTCAGTAACTTGAGTCTCAGATGAGAAATGAAATGAGGATGAAAAAGAATTATTACTGAGCATTTCACAATTGCAGTTTCGTATTGTGTACAGTAGTTTACACATTAACTCAGACTTTAGTAAAGTGAGACTTTAGTGAATTGTTCTTTATTAAATGGAAAATCATGAAATTTGATCAGGGCCAAGTTGAAAGTACTAAACATGCATTTTTTCAATGTTATGTAATTCAGATTTTAAAAATATACGTTTTTCTCTACCAGTTTGAATTACTTTGTTTTTACTCTTGACTAAATGATCAGAGGTAAATAGAATGCCCCTTTGCCATTGTACTGTGACTAAGAAACTTTCGCCACCAGAGGGAGATAGAAGGAAAATTGGATTCCATTTTAGTTTCAAGATCTGCTGAGTAAATCATTTTTGCTCCTGTTTAATAAAAAAAAGTTAAAATGATAATCCTTACTCATGGTTAAAAAAAAGTACAATGAGGAAGGGTATAAACTGAAAAATCATTGTACCCTTCTTTGATTCCCATTTTTATTCTCTGTGATCACTATTATTATTTTCTTGTGCATCCTTTCAGAAATTGCCAATGCATATAATTACATTTGTGTCTACCCCTCCCTCCTTTTAAAAAGACTAATGGATCATATCACATGCTGTCTTACAGTTGGGTTTTTTTGGTATTTCATTTTGAGAATATGAATAATTTATATTAAGTTGATATTTCTTGGTCCCTTCTCTTTTGCCACCTTCATTTCATGTCTAGTAAATTGCTCGTGAAAATGAAGGCAGTTTCTTAGGTTTATGCTTAAATACTGTAATAGCTGAGAAAAGCCTTTTGGGTGTGGTAAATTGCACTGAATATACAGATTTTTATTATGACTAATTCAGATATAAATTAAATTATTTCTGCTTAAGTTATGGAATCTGTAGATTTCTAGCTTTTTGATTTCAGTTTTTGCTAGTACAGGCAATGTTATAATGAAAATTCTTGATTACATATTTTTGTGTACTTATATAAGCTAAATTGAAAGATAAATATATATTCAAACTTGATATATGTTGCAAATTATTCTCATAGAAGGTTTATATTAGTTTATATTCCCAACAGTAGGATATGAGTTATTCATTTCCCCACATGATTGCCAATACTGTGAATTGTCATGGACTTTTGAATACTCAATTTGATTTGTGTTTTTTAAATTATGATAAAAGTTGAGCATTTTTAAGAGTTTATTGTCCATTTTGAATACCTTTATTATGAAATGGTTGGTCTCATCCTTTTCCCATTTTTTGAAAATTGGGTGGTTCATTTTTTCTTATTGAGTTATAATTATTTCAAGTTTTTTTTTTTTTTTTAAAGATTTTATTTATTTATTTGACAGAGAGAGACAGAGACAACTGGAAAGGGAACACAAGCAGGGGGAGTGGGAGAAGGAGAAGCAGGCTTCCTGCGGAGCAGGGAGCCCGATGTGGGGCTCGATCCCAGGACCCTGAGATCATGACCTGAGCCAAAGGCAGACGCTTAATGACTGAGCCACCCAAGCACCCTATTTCAAGTGTTTTATCTCATTTAGGACTTTATGGAATTTTTGACTTTATCTCATTTTTGACACATGGAATTTTACATTTTAATGTAGTCAAAAATTATAGTCTTTTCCTTATTGGATTCCAGGTTGAAAATTCATTTTAATAAAAAAATCTTGTAGTTCCTTTCCATTTGCAGGGGCAGGAACATTTATGTGATTCTCAAAGCTGTCATTATACTACTACGACCAGCAAAGGCGTGTGGTAGGAGATAGGGAGGGTGCTCAGGGGTAGGTATACTTCCTTTGGAATGGATTTCCCAGGGGGCTGATTTTTTGAGGCATGGTGTTAGATTTGCCTAGTACCTTTGGTATCATTTTTAGGAATCAGTTTGTTGTTGTTTTTTTAAATGTAAAACTTATTTGGATTGTTTCTAGTTTTTTATTCGGTTCAACAGCTTCTTTATAATGTATTCTCTTGTGTGCATGTAAAAGTATTTTGTATGTTATCTATCTAACGTTTTTCATAACTAGAATTAGGAAGCAATCCAGAGTGAAAGGAACGTTATATAACCCAAGATAGTTAATTTTCTATTCTGTGAAGAGATTATGGGCATTGCCTTTGATTCTAAAGAATTTAATCTTTTAGACTTAGGAACATTATAGAATCACATAAATTGAGAGTAACTAAGTTGGTTCAGTATTTGATTAAATTCCCCAAAGATTTGGTTTCCCTTAAGCTGACTGGCCTTTTTATTTAATAGCAGTTATGAAAGACCTCTTTCTAGAGAGACTGGTTTTTTTGACAATTCTTTATATGCTTTCCTGTTTGTAAGCCTATATTATGATATATTCTTTTTCTAGGCATCTCTAAATCCTACTTAAAGAGAAATAATTCTGTAAGTTGGTGGCTTATTTTGATTCATAACAATAATGTATTTGTTTTAATACTTTAGGTATGTACATCCCGGTTCTGGTTTAATTATCGGCATGTTGCAAATACTCTCTCTGTTTACAGAAGTGTCAAGAGGCTAGGTATTCCTGACAGGTAAGAATTCTTAATAAAGCTTAACTCTGAACTTCAGTTACCCTTAGACAGTTGTTATTATTTTTGCATTTTTATGTTGCTTTGGAAGAGATAAACCTGATTTGAAGGTTTTTTTAAGATTTTATTTATTTATTTGACAGAGAGAGAGATAGCGAGAGCAGGAACACAAGCAGGGGGAGTGGGAGAGGGAGAAACAGGCTTCCCACCAAGCAGGGAGCCCGATGTGGGGCTCGATCCCAGGACCCTGGGATCATGACCGGAGCTGAAGGCAGACGCTTAACGACTGAGACACCCAGGCGCCCTTGAAGGTTTTTTTTTTTTTTTTGTTAGAGCATACCATCATGTATAAAATAGCTGTTACTTAAGACCATAATGTCAAATTATATAAAACAACAATCAGTACCTTATAAGGTGAAAAGATTTGATAAAGTATAATTGCTTAGTGTCATTTACTTAATTATTAAATGCTTCAGTCTGTGTTTTTAATTGCAGGCAACAAGACAATTTTGACTGATTCAAGTAGAAAAGTAATTTACTGAAAGCATATTGATTAGTTCACTAACTTGCTGGGAAGGCTGTATATGGCCTTAAGTCAGGACCATGTTAGACTAGGTAGCAAGAAAGACATCTGAAAATGCTGGCATAAAACCATGCATTGACAATAATGCTGCCACAGATTGCTGGCTGGACTCTGCTACTGCATAGCTGCTACCATTACCTTGGGAAACTTAGTGTTGGCGCTGCCAAAATCCAGCCTTTGCCATCCCAGCCCCTTACTGTCTCTAGCTCTTAATTTAGCCTCCTCGGTGGGAAAGTCATATTGGCAGAGCACAGATTAAAGTGCCTGTGTTCACGCTCAAGGGGTGACAGGAAGAATGACTGTATGGCATTTTTAGCTTCTATAAATGGGGGTGGGCTCTGCCTTCGATGGAGACTCATAAAGTGGGATATTTCCTAATTACATGAGGGAGTTCAGGTACGAGGCAAAGCCCCTGTGCCTCCACCCAGATACATGTTCTCTGCATTTGGTTTGTCAGGTATGATAGAGCTGTTTTTGCTACCACCAACAGAGTTATAGAAGAAACTGCATTCAATTCGCTTATTTAGGTTTGATTTATTTAGTCCTATGTTCCTCTCTTCCTTTGAGGCAGAATGGAAGGAACTTTGCAACCAGATAGATCTGAGTTTGAAATCTGGGTTAGTGATGATTTTCATTAAGTCACGTCATGATGCTAAGCCTGTCTCCTTGTCTACTACATGGTCATAATAGTACCTTCTTTGCAGAATTCAGATCCTCACAGTAAAAAGCAAATAGAGATATGTATAAAGTGCTGCAGGAGCAGAAAGGAAGCAGTGAATGACTCAGGAGACAAAGATATATTATATTCTATGTAAATAGATCATGTTAGCCTGAGAAGCTGACAAGAACTCTAATTTAATTCCTGGATTTCATCTGGAAATTAAAGGCAACTCAATAATATTACCATTTTAAAAAGTATGTTAAATTAAGTCTGAGAAAGAATGCTTTGCTATATCAAGTTTACAGGTATTATTTTTGTAACTAGCCAATTATTATAATTTGTCAATTGGTTTTCTTCTAATAGGGCTATGTGGTTAGTCCTTTGGCTTTTAACTGCTGTTGCTTCTATACCCTATGTGCTCCTCCACGGAGTTACTATGCACAGTTTGGCAATAGTTTTCACTTAGGAAATGAATCTTTGTCTGGTCTATAGGTTATTATGATATGTTTAAATGGTCTGAGTAAGATTTAGAGGGACTTTTTAGGAATAGAATATAACTGTAGGATGTATTTTATATATTATAATTGGTAGGTTTGCCCCTAGGTTTCTCAAGAATGTTCTTTAAAAGCTTATTCCTGTTTCACCTGATAGCCTGTCTACCTCTCTGTTTATGACATCTTTTTTGGAGAATGAATTGGGGATTTAAACCATTTGTTATTTTACAAACAGAGATCAATATAAAAGGTTCAATTTGGCTTTTAGCCTATTTATTGTGAATATTCCTCTCATTGGTGACTTGTCTTACTTTACTCCTACCTGGAATTAAGTATAAAGATATGTCTAGCTAAATTCTTAGGAAGTAACAAATTATTATAAAATAACAGTTTGGAAACTTAAAATCATTAAGAACAGTTTTTAGTTTTAAAGCCTGAATTTCAAAATACAGTTTGAATTTATTTTTATACATTATGAAACATTTTTAAGTTAAAAATGTTATAACTTTTGGGCGCCTGGGTGGCTCAGTTGGTTAAGCGACTGCCTTCGGCTCAGGTCATGATCCTGGAGTCCCTGGATCGAGTCCCGCATCGGGCTTCCTGCTCGGCAGGGAATCTGCTTCTCCCTCTGACCCTCCCTCCTCTCATGTGCTCTCTCTCATTCTCTCTCAAATAAATAAATAAAATCTTAAAAAAAAAAAAAGTTATAACTTTTGTTCATATTTAAGGTATGTATGCCGAGAAAAATGATTGTTACATTTAAGAAAAATTATGAGTAGAGCTCTGTTTTGGTTTTGTTTTTTAATTTGTTTGATTTTCAAGGGAGCATTTTACCTTTGTCTTGAGATGCAAGGATTTGCATTTAATTTTCCCATAGACTTCAATAAGAAATCAGTTCACAAATCATTTGTTGAAATACATGACACAAGTGATTGCCTTTTATTTTGGAAGTTCACATCAGTTCCATAGGTCCTGTTTGAAATGTCACATTAGTCATGTCACTACTCTTGTTCTGATTTCTCTCTGATCTTCTGTCTGTATTTCACACGTTCTGACCATACTGAGCCATTCTCTCTGCCTGGAATGGTTGTCTGTACTTCTGGCTCACTTCTGCCAAAACCTGGCTGTGATTCCAAATCTCTTGTGGTTAAAAATACAGATTTCTTGGCTCCACCTCTGGTGATTCTAATTCACTAACTCTCAAGCGACGCCTAGACATCAGGTTTAGATGTAGTTCTGATGCACAATCAAGTATAGGAAGCACAGCTTCAATTTATACCTGACCTTCCAGATTTACTTTACTCTAATACTTCTTTAAAAAAGCCTTTCCTGACCCCTTTCTTTGCTTCTCTGGTATCCTGTGTACATTTTGACTATAACATGATTATATGAATTAATAGTATGTCTCCCTCATTAGATTATAAACTCTTTGAAAGGAATATGGATATTTTATTTCATTTTGTACTTCTAGCATCTAGCACAGTGCCTGACATATAGTAGGTTCTTAATAGGTATTAGATAAATAAACAAGTGACTTGGAAATACTTTGTCAGGTAGGCAAAACAAACACAAGTTTGTACTTTAAAAATAAAAATACTTCTCTTTCCTAAATTGTGTTAGTTTAGTTTATAGCAAATGTTAATATGATATAAAAGACATTTTAATAAATAGTTTGTCAGAACTTAATACTATTTCAAAATGTTGACTCAGGGGAAAGGATTCTAATGGTTATGGGGGAAAATAAAGAGACATACTATTATTGTTTTTATACGTAAGTTCCGTGCAAGACAGGTGTTTTATACTTTGTGTCCATGTTTTCTGTAACCTTACCCACCCTCAGGTACTTTTTTTTTATTTGCCTGGTTTTAATTCTTTAAACATTTTACTTTTTTGGGAATTTTTCTGCCCTCAGATAATTGTTTTGGACTAAATCCCTGTTTTGCTACCTCTAATATGCTTAAAATGCTTAGGATGAGGGAGAGAAAAGGCATAAAGCAGAGGTTAGGCCCCAAAATTGGTATGTGAAACAAAAATTGAGCCAAAATTATTCTTGAAAGTTTCTTAAATAGCACATAAAGTACAATATAGTATTGTCTTCCATCAAGTCTGACACAGCCAGTTTTTCCTCAAGTGCTAGGGCAGTTTTCTTTTTCTTTGATGGAGTACTTGATGAAGTGGTTTACTTAGGACTAGGGCATATGTTATGTAAAAGTACATCTTCTTAAGAGTAGAATTATGATGCTCATGCTGTAAGAGGCATACAGGGATTGAGACTGACTGAGAAGATATAGAATCAGAGCTTCCATCTCATGTTTACTTTGGAGAGTAAATGCATTGACTATTAAGGTGGGTGAGATCTGCCCCCCTACTTTTTTTTGGCTGAGTGCATAAGATTAGCTTTATGGAGTTAAATGTGTACATAATTTTTCTTACAATATGATTTAGCTCTACTACAAATTGGGTGGAGTGAGTTTTTGTAATGATCCCTGTCTGATAAACTGATAAACTATCCAACAGCAGCTTTTCTGACTCCATTTTTCCTCCTTACTCTATATTTTAATCATTATGTAAGATTAATATTCCTGTTTTAAACCTTTTTCTTCATCTCCCCTTATTCATAAACTCTTAGTTTATGCAAAATAAAGTTCCAAGTCCCCTAGCTAGTACTCAAGGCTTTTGTAGTCTGGTTCCAAATCTGACATTCTGATAATATCATTTCAATCCCTATGCTCCAGCCACTTCCTTCTTGTAAGTTCCTGTATTGGCCTCTGTCATTGCCTTACACTGGTCATTCCACCTATAGTTCTTTTCTTCCTCCCTCTATCTAGTTTTCCTATGCCCAGATTCAATTTATACACTCCCTAGAGCTTTCTTGGGTCCTTCTTGCATAAATATTTTATTTATACTTTTGTCACAGGGCTTTTTTTGTATGTATTGATCTAATTTCTTCAGTGCTGGTTCTCATACTATGTTTGTAATCCTCACAGTACATTCTTTAGCATACTGTAGAGAGTTGAATGAATGAATGAATGAATGAATGAATGAATAGTATGCTAAAAACTACTAGCCAAGTGGAACCGATTAGTCTAGGCTAGAAAGGAAATATTTATGAATACTGCTTATTTATATCCCCTTTATTTATTTTAATTTTTTTTTTTTAAGTAATCTCTACACCCAGTGTGAGGCTTGAGCTCACAACCCCAAGATCAAGGGTCAACAAATTGTGTTGGGAAAACTGGACAGCTACATGAAAAAGAATGAAATT